TTATGTATGTGTGTGTGTGCGTATGTATGTATGTATGTATATGTGTGTTTTTGTGTGTGTGTGTGTGTGTTTTAGCACATTCATTTGAATATGTACATGTATATGGCTGCCTGCATTTAGATATATATATTATATTGATATAATATTTTTTTTGTGTGTATGCATGAATATTAAGTTGTGTTTATTTATATATGTATAAATGTACGTGTATGTTGGTGTGTGTGTATGTATGTGTGTATGTAGGTATGTATTGTTGTATGTATGTATGTATTTGTGTATGAATGTATATATATATATATATATGTGTGTGTGTGTGTGTGTGTGTGTGTAGTTTTGTGTGATTGTATGTGTGTATGTGCATATATGACAGATATATTTGACAGTTTTCTTGTTTTATATATATGTGTGTGTGTGTGTGTGTGTGTTTGTGTGTGTGTGTGTGTTGATGTATAACTATACGCATGTGCATAAATGCCAATTTTATTTTTGTCATGTATGCATACAGAGAGTATATATATATATATATGTGTGTGTGTGTGTGTGTGTGTGTGTATGTATGTATATATATATACTATCTATCATTTATACATGAATATCATTCAGCTCATTCCATAATAGATACACGCTGGCAGCGGCTAAGATATCAAACAGATACTCAGTCTCGGTATTGACACTGTTTGCTTTATATAATTCTACATCACCATATTTTAAATCAGCACTCCTTCCTCGCAATGTAGGCCGGAATATCAGCAGGCACGCCGGCCGACAAAAACGTAGCCACCATTCTGTACGCGTTCTCAAGCAAATTCCCGGAGAAAAATCGCACGGAGAGCCGAGACTATGTCGCCAAATGCATAGCTGAGGGGAAGATCAAGAACACCATGCAGCTGGAAGGTAAGGTATCCCACAACTTAGCCACGTGGATGAGTGGGCGTGTATGTATATGTCACGTGCTGTGGCGATGTTCTGTGTGAATGGGTGTTCAGGGCGTTAGTAGAGGCTGGAAGGCAGAGCTGGCGTTGCCCAATGCATAGATGATGGAACGAACCACACCTTACACCTTATACCTTGTGGCTAGCAGGTAGTTCGCTTCTTATACACGTTAATAGGTGTGAGTCGATATTGTTTCGGGTGCACTGAAAATGTTGTGTCTTCGTATACGAGAGCAAGGGGTTGTTTGATGAATGTTGTCATGGCCCTTGGACTATACATTCGGCTGTCTTCAAGGACTGAGTGCCTGACGTGTAGAGAATTGTATGAGCATATACAAAACATTAAAATGAACATGTGGGATTCAAGCAGTTGTGTTTGTGTCAGCGTTGTTGTAACAGATATTTTCCAGAAATATCCATAGAAGTATATATATATATATATGTCGGTGTGTCGTTTTCATCAGAAAGTAGTTAAAGCTCATTAGAAGTGGGCTATATTACTTCAGTTACTACAATCACACCCCTGTCTGCTATCTCTTTGTGGCTTTCTAGTCCTGTGTACGTCCATTCAATAGCCCGCTAATCTCAATGGGTTATTCGGCGCCATTCCGCTGAGGCGAATCACGAGTCATAGCACCCCATCCTGACAGTCATAGCCAGCACACACACTAACCGATCAATCTATACTCTCTCAGCCGCGTGTGAGTACTTTGAGGATATCGAAAACTTCGACAAGCCCGTAGATCAGTCTAAGTTTGAGAAGAACTGTGGTGTGGGTGTAGAGGTTACGGATGAGCAGGTGGAGCAGGTCGTCAAGGATGTGTTCGCGGACATGAAGGAAAAGGTAGTGGGCTGATTTGGTCTTAGATTGCCATGAATGCGTGTATATATACAGAACGCAATTTGTATGTATATTTGTATGCATGTATGTTTGTACACACACATATATATATATATATATATATATATATAACCATCCCTGCACTGTTGGTTTAGGCAGATTTAGGTGACAACATGCTTGTCTTGCACGCATAGATGTATGCCGTTTGTATATGTGTATGTGTCTACATAACATGCTTGTCTTGCACGCATAGATGTATACCGTTTGTATACGTGTATGTGTCTGCATGCCTTATACGAGTGTGTGTTCCTAGAGCACATGGACGCAAACCCCTACACAACAGACCCCTTCACCTGTCACAGAATCGTATGCAGCATCCAACACTATATCTTAGCAATATCTGCAGGATACGTAGCCGAGGCAGAGGTGACGGGATATGCCCTAAGTATGCACATCTGGCTTACGTTGTATCTATCCCTTCTCCTTTTAGGGTTTAGGGTTTTATATATATATATATATATAGATATATATATATATAGATATGGATATAGATATAGATATAGATATATACTAGTAGTGATCTGAAAATTGCTGAATTCACTGTTCAAATGAACAAGCTCAGTACATACCCGTGCGTAGTCAGACGGTGTCTGCGTGCCTGTACGCCCACGCGCACGCCAGGAAATGGAACAGTTTAGGCCCTATACTGACGCGGTTCTGGGACCAGAACGAGATTGCCGGGCCGCTCCTGACCCGAAGTCTTCCGGACGTATTCCAGATCTGGATCGTCACGCAATCCCACTCCCTTCCCTTTGGGCATGTATATGTGTGTATGTATGTGTGTGTGCGTGTATGTGCATGAATTAATATATACGCCATAGTATCCCATTCTAACCCGTACCCGTCTCTCACCCCATGACATTATAGATCGAGGCAGAGCGGTACAGGACTGAGATGAAACCGATCATCTCTGCCGTCAAGGCGAAACAACCGGTAACTAGGGTTCTAGAGTTTTCGGATTTGGGGATGAGGGCTGGATGCGATACGTACCGGCACTGGGAAACAGATCGAGATGAGTGTCTGGCATTGAATTTGATTTTAGCAGTGTAGTGCACGTAATGTTTGATATGCCTGTTAGGATAGCGATGCAATGTCTTTGTATTTATAATTTGTACCTCCTGTGCTGGGCTGCCGGTAAGCCCGTGCGTCAGTGCGTATGGACAAAGCATGCTCGGGTGTTCACACATTCACCCGGATTTCTGTGGAATTTGCCGAATATATGGATAAAATATGCAGATACAGATACATGACATGAGTTATTGCATTCCTAATAGTTTGATGATAAATTTTATATTTATAGTGGTATTGTGTCTATTGCGCTGAAGGTAAGCCCATCCATTGGCAGGTGACTGTTTGTTGTCCATCCATTCGCACGCATTGTTAGTAGATTATTGCAGTAAGGTGATAGAATTATACATATAATTGTACATGTAACATGTATTACATATATTTAATAATGCCAAGTTATTTTCTTTGGGCGCTGCTCCATATATATATATATATATATATGCTGCTAATAAATTTATGTTGTACTCCTTAGTGGGCCGCCGGTAAGCCCATCATGCAGAGCATTGACAAGTGCATGCTCGAGTTATTAGGTCCCAAAGACGACCGCGACAAAGTAGTGAAGGTCAAGAAAGAGAAAAAGCCCGTCAAAACGGAGCAGGCGGTTGAGGCTGACAGTGCAAAGGACTATGTTGGGGCTGTGGCGATGTTCCACAAAGTGGGCGAGAACTACAAGACTCAGGGATACGTCACCACACCCCACACCATGGATCTGCTGAAGGTGTAGTAGACTGTGCGGGTCTATGTGCTTGTTGTAGTGTATGGCTGTACGGATTAGTTTTGATATTTGCGTGTTCTAAGATGTAAGGAGAACTACAAGACTCAGAGATACGTCACCACACCCCACACCATGGATCTGCTGAAGGTGTAGTAGACTGTGCGGGTCTATGTGATTGGTGTAGTGTATGGCTGTATGGATTAGTTTTGGTATTTGCGTGTTCTAAGATGTATGGAGAACTACAAGACTCGGGGGTACGTCACCACACCCCACACCATGGATCTGCTGAAGGTGTAGTAGACTGTGCGGGTCTATGTGCTTGGTGTAGTGTGTCGCTGTATGGATTAGTTTTGGTATTTGCGTGTTCTAAGATGTATGGAGAACTACAAGACTCAGGGATACGTCACCACACCCCACACCATGGATCCGCTGAAGTTGTGTATCTGTGTGTGTTGGTGTGCTTGTTTTATATGTAAAAATGGGTGTGTTGGTTTTCGCACGGGCTGTTTAAGTGTTGTGTTGTGGCCCAAGCTCGACAAAGCGAAGAAGAACTACAAGTCTCAGGCACGTCCCATCCTATAAATGTTATGATCATACGTATACGCGTAAGCCCTACCTGACCAACTATACACCTACCAGCGCCCCTACTCACGCAGCACACTCTACCATGACACAGCAACACTTGAAGGAAACCGGAGGTAAAGTGGTGACTCGATTCCCACCAGAGCCCAACGGTATTCTGCATATCGGACACGCCAAGGCTATGAATCTCAACTTTGGCTATGCCAAGGCTAACGACGGTATCTGCTACTTACGGTACGATGACACCAACCCCGAGGCAGAGGAGGACCGATACTTCAAGGGCATCCGGTATGTGCGGATATAGGGATATAGAATGGTTGTACACTTCTTAGGTGTATATATTTGTATAGATATATATATATATATATATATAATATATATATATTCAATGTCTGTTATTCGAACATCTCAAGATCTGTTAAATGTCGATGGATTGCAAAACTCCTGGTCGCAGTGGCATCCGTCATCTGTCATGTACACGTGGAAGACACTTTGCCTAAGACTATCTACTCGTGTATGCGTTGAGTTCTGTTCTACGTGTGCGAATCAACCTACTACATACGTGAATGGGTACAGCTGAGCTGATATACCTGTGCACCGATTCATCGTTTTTCTCACTTAGATATGCACCGTCGTGTGCACTCGCCTCTACCAAACCATCAGCCCTGCACCCTACTACCCTATAACCCTACATCTCGATCTCTCCGCACGCGATTGATTTATACGCCTGCAGTGATATGGTGGAATGGCTGGGCCACGAGCCGTACAAGGTCACGCACTCGTCAGACTACTTTGAACGACTCTATGACTGTGCCATTGAGCTGATCAAACGAGATAAGGCCTACGTTGACCATCAGACGGGTAAAGTTTGTTGTATGGGTGTATCTGTGCTAAGATTGTTTTTGTGTGCAATATATCATACTTGTAGGTATCAATCGATATATATACATATATATATATATATATGAGAGGGAGAGTGTGTGTGGTGAGTGTTGACACGTTGTACCCATTCATACATACGCATCTATTCTCCTTGATTGTTTCGTGTGCAATATATCATACTTGTAGGTATCAATATATATATATATATATATATATATATAAGAGAGAGTTTGTGTGTGTTGAGTGTTGACACGTTGTACCCATTCATACATACTCACCTATTCTCCTTGATATTCCACCACAGCCGAACAAATTAAAGCGGAGCGTGGTGGTGAGAAGGGCGAGGGTGAGCGCACAGAGAGTCCCTACCGCAACCGACCCATTGCCGAGAGTCTGCGGATCTTTGAAGAGATGCGACAGGGACTCTGGGCTGAAGGTACGTTCACATTTTTATATATCTATACATATCAGTATATATATCTATATATATAAGTTGTACCTGTAATATTGGAGGAGTTCTCAGTGTGTGTTATGCTACAGGGACTTTGGGCTGAAGTTATATATATATATATATATATATATATATATATATATACCTGCAATATTGGATGAGTTCTCAGTGTGTGTGATGGGCGTGTCGCAATATTGAACATGCATGTTTTACGAGAAACCCGATATTTTACAAGTTTTGAGATGTTGCTCGCGTACTTTTTTTTTTGGTTGCTCAGGTTCTGTTCTTTTGCGCATGTATTTGGGCATGAGGAACGGCAATCTGCATCGCATGACATTATCCGCACCACTCCAAATTTCCAGCCCGAATCAACCGGCTCCATCCTGATGTAAACCCTCAAAACACGTTCACACGCCTGCTCTCTAATTCGGGATCGGCGTTCCTAGACCTGATTTAATTCGGTATCGGTGTTCCTAGACCTGATTTAATTCGGGATTGGTGTCCTAGACCTGATTTAATTCGGCATCGGTGTTCACTCAGTCATCCCTGTAATACACATATCCCCATCAGGATCGGCCATTTTGCGCATGAAAATGGACATGAAGAACGGCAATCCGCAGATGTGGGACCTGATCGCCTACCGCATCAAGTTCTCTCACCACGTGCGCACGGGCAATGCGTGGTGCATCTACCCCTCCTACGACTTCACGCACTGTCTGTGCGACAGTTTCGAGAACATCAGCCATTCGCTCTGCACCATGGAGTTCACACAGGTGCGTGGCCGTACATGGAGTCGTATCTGTAGTATGTATTGGGAGATGTATCTGTAGTAGGTACGTGTTTACGTATCTGTATCATGTTTATGTTTACGTATCTGCATTATGTAAATGGAGACGTATCTGAAGTATATACATATTTAGTATCTGTAATATGTACATGTCTACGTATCTGCGCGATATGTACATGGTTTTGTATCTGTAATATGTACATGTTTGCGTATGTACAAGGTGTGCTATGTAGCGTACCTTGTATTTATGTTATGTGTAATTGCAAAATCATGAAACTACGGCCATTTTCTATCACTTTTCGGACTAAGTGCGCGCCTGTAGCGTTGATGTAGCTACCTACACACGACTTCACTCACTGTCTGTGGAGCATTTCTTGGAATACTGATTATTCACTTTGTATTGTGGAGTTTGAGTATATGAGTGTATATGCATATAGACATGTATATGTATATGCATATGTATTTTTTGTATATTTATATGTGCATGTCTATGTATTTTTATTTGTATTTGTATATGTATATGTATATGCATATGCATGTGTATTTTCTTTGTATATTCATATGTATAAGTATATGTATAGGGGTACACATATATATATATATGTGTGTGTGTATGTATGTATATATATATATGTATGTATGTATATGTATGTATATGTATATTTCTATGTATATATTTGTCAATTTAGTTTCACATAGGCGCGAGTATTTTGCTACCAGCTGCACAATACTCTGCTTACTTTCTAAGGACTGAATAAAACGTATTCCTAGTTGTATATGCCCTACTTCAATACGCCTGTAGTTATATATGCCCTACTTAAATACGTTTTGCATACACTGCTCTCTGCTTCCCTTCGCCACACATTGAATTGCGTTTCAGGCGCTGGCACGATTATTGTACTTCTGTCGTGCTCATTTTAGTGACTAGTTGGATATATTTGCGATTCGTATTCAGATTGGGTTTTAGGGTTTAGGCTTAAGGCTTTAGGGTCCAATATTCTTCCTCATATTTATACATGTACCTGTAGACTCAACTCAACTACCCTTCATCTGGCAGTGAATAGCGTTATATACGGGAGTGTTGTACTACTTGTACTGTGCTGGACTTCGATCAACCCGATCGATCTACTTCTAGTCCGTTTGCAGCAGTGCATGTGCATTCTGCTCTAATAAGTCTTCTTTTATTGAGCTCAGCCTGACATTGTGATATTTTCAATTTACTTACAGGCACGTGTGTCGTACTACTGGCTGTGCAATGCTCTGGACATCTACTGCCCTGTACAGTGGGAGTATTCACGCCTCAACCTCACAAACACCATCCTGTCAAAACGAAAGGTATGTGTAACTATATATATATGTAAGTATGTGTGTGAGTGTGTGTGTGTCGTGTCTGTATAAATATATATATATATGTGTGTGTGTGTTCGTATGTATATATATATATGTATGTAATGGTATATATATATATATGTATATGTATGTATGTATATATATGTGTGTGTTTGTGTCTGTGGCTGTGGCTGTGGCTGTATTTATATATTTATATTTATACTTATTTATATATATATACGTAGATACATAATTATGTATGTGTAAATGGAAATATATATATTTATATGTATATTTGTATGTGTGTATGTATGTATGTATATGCGAGATTCCAAATTGTGTGCGGATTGGATATCCACACGACATCCTCGCTAATACCGTCCTGCCATTCAAAGGCTGTGTAGTTGTATATTGAAATTCTCAGTTTGGGTATTAAAGAAAACGTACGTCATAAGAATATAATGTTTAGTTTTTCAAGAAAACGTGGATAAATAGATTTCGATGTGTGGGTATTACAGAAAACGTATATTTGTGTACTTTTTTAATCACTCAGAAGGAAGTGATTGTGCGTGTGTTGGGGTACTAGAACATACAACTTCGAATCCGTTCAAACAGTTACGGATTACGCGTACACTCGATATAGACGTTCCGGTAGATGTATGACTATGAGTCCTCACACATCATCATAATGTTCGCAGGTAAATAAGTGCGCTCCTCAGTGGTGTGATTTATGAGCTGTATTGCATGTTTTTAACTTTGATACATACAGAGCTTCTAATATTTATATCTCACTCTTTTGCCGTGTCTTTGACCGTGCCTCCTTCGATAGGTGCTGAAACTGATCGCTGAGGGCTATGTGAATGACTGGGACGACCCCCGTCTACACACTCTTCCAGCACTCAAGCGAAGAGGGTTCACGCCCAAGGCTATCAACAGACTCTGCGACCAGGTAATTGTTGGATATATATATATATATAATATAAATATATATATATTTATATATATATAATATAAATATATATATATGTGTGTTTGATGTGTGTGTGTGTTTGGTGTGTGGTGTGTATCTATGTGCATATATATATATATATATATATGTATGTATATAATATATATATATATGTATGTATATAATATATATATATATATATATGTGTGTGTGTGTGTGTGTGTATGCGTGTGTGTGTGTATAAATATGTATATCTATGTATATGTATTGATATATATTATTATATTATTATATTATTATATTATATATTATGTGTATATATATATTCTTGGCCTGGCTGAGCGAATGGTCCCTGCATAATTTGGTACGTGTACATATATATATATATATATATATTCGTGTGACCTCCACATATATTATTGTAGTATATACACATATGTACATACGTTACACCTGTTTCTGAGCTCGTGCATACACCTCATCCTCTGCGATAACGACGTAGGTGGGTATCACCGTCAACACAACCACGATTGCCATGGCCCGCCTTGACGGCTGCGTGCGAGATGACCTGAACGTCATCGCGCCTAGAGCTATGGCGCTACTAGATCCCATCAAGGTGTGCTGTAGAATGAATCTTGATATGTAGAGCTTCCTAGTGGTTTGATATTATACATGACTATGGTCTTGTTGTTTTTTTGATATTATACATTATTATAGTACCTTCGTATGATTCATCTTGATATGTAGCTCCCTTGTATTTCGATATTTTACATTACTACAGTTTTTTGTTTTGATATTATACATTATTATAATACCTTCGTATGATGCATCTTGATATGTAGCTCCCTTGTATTTTGATATTATACATTACTGAAGTGTCTTCGGTTTGTATTTTGAATTTTGGTGTACGTTATATACTCAACAACCCAGTGTTAGACGACTACATTTTAGCACCATCGCGCCTAGAGCTATAACACTTCTAGATCCCGTCAAGGTGTGCGGTATGGTTTATCTCGGTGACATTTTGCAACTTCGATACTGACAGCTCATTCCACTACACGGTAACGGATGTTGTCTGCGCATTTATGTTTTAGGGCACGGACATTAATTCTGTATTCTACTGTTGCAGGTGACAGTGGGTAACTCCATAGACAACTAATTTCACAACGAACAGTATTAATTCACACGACTTCAGTGCACGGAAATTAATTTGAAGTTCTCCGCTGCTGCAGGTGACGATTAGCAACTTCAAAGAGGACAAGAAAGACGCGGTAGATGTACCGAACATTCCCTTTAACGAGAGCGCAGGCAACCACACTCTCCAATTCGACAGTATGTTCGACCACCTGCCCATCATAGCAATACATATGTGCGTATACGTATGTGTATATCTACATACCCCTATCACCTGTTTATATTTATCTATTTTATGTCTACATATTTGGTATCTTTACATTAAATATCTACCTATTCTGTATTTACATACGAGGTGCCCTGAGGCGGGACTTTTAAGTGCGTGTTCCTATCTGTGGCAAACACACCCTGTCTGATACGTACGGTATCTGTACGTACGGTACATACCCTCTCCCATTCAGCCCGATACGGGTGTGGCTTATATGTCCTATATGTGTGATGAATCGGTGTGAATTCCCCACTACGATTGCAAACGGGTATTTCGCAGGCTATTCTTCTTTCACAGATGTTGGGTTGAAACCCCCGAAACTCTGGACACCAAACCCTAGACCCTTATTCATAGTGGGAGTCACACGTTGGCCATACAGCCTGTTAGCATACACTACCCATGCCCACGCACTCGTGACCATCGCAAAACTACATGAGGCACCCATGCAGAAACTCTCATACCACACCAAGTTGTATGTTTTTATGTATGCATGCATGTATGTATGTATGTATGTATGTATGTATGTTTGGCTTACAGACATACCTGCAGTAGCTGTGAGCTTATGATATGCCACTGGCTGTGTGCGTTCACACAATGTATAGTATAGTTGTGTAAAGCACACTCTCGAGGTGGTGCTACTCCATGGAGTACTCAGCTACTCTTGTAGCTTAGTTGCTCATTGTGATCACCTGATTAAACCGATCTACAGAGGTTCTGTATATTGATCGCGACGACTACCGTGATGCGGCTGATAAGAACTACCGCCGATTCGCACAGGACCAAAGTATTGGACTCAAGTATCGAGGGTAAGCGTATATATTTGTATGTTATATGAAGTATGTAGGTAGTAAACCAGAACAGGACAAGTATGTGAATGGCTTTACAGGCATACACACTGCGCTTATTGTACCGTGCGATTTTTCTTTTAAATTGACTCCTCTGGGGACATATTTCACGCGGCTATTATGTACTTGTTTTGTGTAGCGGATAATAGTTATCTGTTCTCGCATTGGTATCTTCAATACCATGGGCTTTGTGGTTTGATATTTGGTCGAAGTGACCGCCCGTGCTATACTCCTCCACTTGAATTAAATACTTCTCAAATAATAGAGAGTGATCCTGTTGGTGCCAAGCAAGTATATGTATGCATGTGTGCATTAGTTGCCAATATTTACGTTCTATATATATATATATATATATATA